ATTTTATCTTGTATGGCGCATCGTATGTACGCAATCCATTGTTGAGCCCTGTAATCGATTATTGGTAATTTCAGATTTTTCAGATATGGCGAGAGAGTAGTGTCTCCCGATATGGAGCACCCTAATGGAACATCAAACAATATGCATAATAACTTGAGTGTCCTGCAACAGCATTGTGCTTTTTTGATGTTTCAAATAAGATTGATTTTATAGGTTTCATGACACCTAAAGTTTTGCTATATCCATTATTTGATGTCTTAAGTAAAAGGGTGAATTGTTTCAAGAAATGGCATCGTAGGTGTCTCAACAATAAACCAAACAAAAGCTCATTGTAGGAGGATTTCGACTATTTATCCAGAACATACTTCATTACATATAAATCATCATTTATGATCGCTGAAATTTGCAAGTAAACGAGTTCACCCTATTGGCACAGCTCTTAAAGGTAAGATTGCAATTCACTTTAAACAATGGCATTAGCAGCACTAGCTATCCTTGGCCATAAATCTGCGCATTCCTTCCCAATTGGACCGGTAATAGCAGAACCTGAAACCAACAATCAAATATTAAGACATTACGGTTCACTTCACTTTCATGAGACACTAGGAAATGAAGCATTCAAAATACCATAGAGTATATGTTAATAGGTAGTAATTTACCTTTCATTTCCCCCTTCGGATTGACTATGACACCAGCATTATCTGCCAAGGCATAAAGAAAATTAACATCACAAACATATTTACAGTCATACGGTAGCATGCTTGTACAAGACCTATCAGAACATATTGATACAAGCAGTCAATATCGGCCAATACACAAGAAGGTATGGTTCTCAGCATCCCCCAGACAATTACCCCTTTCGTTCGGAACACAGGAATAATACATCCAGATGTAACTGCAAGGTAACTCAAATCATTTTACGCCGTCTCACCGTTGACGAGAAAAAAATCAGAAAAACTAATGCTTTATGGTTAATCTAGCTAGATATATCATGCAAAACATAAACAATAGCTCTTTACAAGATAAAAGATGCGGGATCCTAATGGAGCAGGTGTAAGCTTAGAGAGATTGTTCACACCTGAAACGAGGGATACATTTAATCTACCAGACATGTAACTGTATTAGCACCATTAGCTATAGATGGATACATGACTAATGTCTGTTTTTTTTTTAAATAAAAAAAAAAATTAAATCGCAAAACTAAAGAAGAAGAAGGTGCCAAATCGCCAAAAGTAGACTTGACAAGACAAAAGATGTGGGATCCTAATGGAGCAGGTGTAAGCTTAGAGAGATTGCTCACACCTGTAACGAGGGATACATTTAATCTACCAGACATGTAACTGTATGAGCACCATTACATATAGATGGATACATGACTAATGTCTGGTTTAAAAAAAAAATATATATTAAATTGAAAAAAAAGAATGTGCCAAATCGCGAAAAGTATAATTCTACATCATGAGAGATCCTACTCGATAAAATTATTTGGCAAGTCCTTTCATTTAGCTGGTTTAAGGAAGCATCATGTCATCTTGCGGATATAACCTATGCTGTTAATAGAATATACACGCATCGAGTCACCCCCTAACCAGCAATCATTTTAATAACCATAATACCAGAAAAACAATAATCCATAAAACATTGAAACACAGGCAACGAGAGATACAACTATTAGAAAACATTCTGCGTAAGATTACAACAAAACGAATGTAGGAAACACAATGTCATTGGGCTGTAAACCATCTACCGAAACCATGCATCCGAACAAAAAAACATAGTATTTATCAACCTTGACAGAGCTAGGTTCAAGAAAGCACAATAACACACTCGATCTATGGCCAATGGGATTGTTTAGCATAGCCCACGCAATAACATCTTATGCATCAAACAACAGTATTTAAAACAAACACTATCTCAAAATGACAACCAGAATGAAGACTATATATAAAGTCATTCAGATACACCTTGGAATTACATTGAATTTCTAACAACCCAAAATAATAGAAAAATCTTATCCACAGCCCACAAGCAACTACAAAATCTAATACACAGAGCCCACAACAAACATCCTAGATAAGATACTGATTAACAATAACACAATGAAAAGATATAATTATAGCACACTGCAAATCCAACCCATACATATTTAAGACAATGCAGAACAAATTAAATAGACAGGTACAAAAAATCACCTTCAAAGTACATGTAGACGCCATCCTTTCTTCTCCACGGCTTTCTCTGCCTGACGATGACAGCCGGCATGACTTTCTTCCTCAGATCAGGCTTTCCCTTCTTCACCGTGGCCATCACCATATCGCCCACACAAGCCGACGGCAGCCTGTTCAACCGACCCTTGATACCCTTTACCGATATAATGTAAAGATTCTTGGCGCCGGTGTTGTCCGCGCAGTTCACAGTCGCGGCCACCGGCAGCCCCAGAGACATCCGGAACTTGTTGCCGGCCGATCCTCCACGCCCTGAAAACAAAGATATCAGGTGAAATCGTGTACCGGGAAACTTCTTATCGAACTTAATAATGCCATAAATGTTTACAGAGAACGTACCTCGCTTCGACATTTTGGTTTACGTTTATGGAGTGGTGTCGGAAGAGCGGAATTTTGTGCGTATTTATCAAGGATTTGCAGGGTTTAGGGTTTCAGATATTGCAACGGAGCTTGGGCTTGGATTTGGGCTGTAACGCTGGGCTTAGATTTGGAATTAAATGACCCATTATGAATACTTATATTATATTTTATTTATGTTTTCTATATTTTATTTATGTTTTTGCATACCTTTATTTTTTTTCCCTTATAGTTTGAATTATTTTTATTATATATATTACCTTTATCTTTACTCAATACGTGTTTTTTGAATGGACAGTTTTTCCCCTTGGTTTTGGAAGAAGTTATTTAATCATTTTTATTCAATTTTTTCTTGCTCTTTTATTCGTCTATTTTGAATTGTGACGATTCCATCAGCGCCAAGAAGCAGTGCCGTCGTCCGTCGCCTAGCCGCCGCTTTCCTCGTCGACCTTCGAATTCCTATTTCATCATCGCCTCGTAATTCCTTCAAATTCATGTACGAAGCTCTCTTCCTGAAATACCCTTGGCGTCTTAATCGTCATTAATTATGTATTTATAAGTTCCATAGATAATTAATATTCTTTTTTACTTGGTTAAAATTTATTAATGGCAGTCTTTCTAATTTAGGTACAAATATTCCAACTTATTAATTTTGGATGCGTAAAATGGAAACTTTCGTTTTTCTTCAAGTAATGTTCAGATTATTGTTAAAAGCTTTTGTTCAGACTTTTTATCCTTCCAATTGGAAATTTGCTTGGTGTATGACTTTCATTTCACTTTTATTCATGCTTGCTTCTAATTTAATCGTTCACATGTGACACTAATAAAACTTATATTGCATTGAGAGAAGGAATAAGACTATGTTGGAAGTTGTGAGATTGATGATGAGCTATGCTTCATTACCTACCTCGTTATGAGATACGCCTTGGAAATAACGGCGTACCTTTTTAACTTTATTCTTTCTAAATCAGTTCTAAAAACACCAATAGAACTGTGGTCTGGGCGTAAGCCCAGTTTCAACCACATTAAGATTTGGGGCTGCCCAGCGCATGTGTTGGACAAGAAAGCTGATAAGTTGACACCTAACAGAAGTGCGGATGTTTGTAGGTTACTCCAAGCGAACGAGAGGTGGATATTTTTATAGTCCTAAAGACTAGAGGGTGGTGGTAAGAATCATTGCTCGGATTTTGGAGGAAGACTATATGAGTGAGTATCAGTCCAAAAGTGTATTCTAAAGAGTTCAGGGAAGACAACGGCATGTCGAGTGTGCAATAGGATATACCATAAGAGATAACACAATGTGGACTTTGATGTATTCACACCTGGATTGCCTCATCGTAGTGGGGGGTTGCTCATCAACCTGATCGTTTCAGGTTTGTGGGAGAGTCTTTGGACTTGATTCCAAGTGAACAACATGATAGTGATCCTTGAACCTATGAAGATGCAATCCAAGACGTAGATGCAGAGTCTTAGTAGAAATCTATGAATTCTGAAATTGAATCTATAGATACTATGGAGGTATACGACCTTAGGGTGAGGGCAAGAAAGTCATTGCGCGAAAATGGGTTTATAGGAGTAATAGAGGATCTGAATGGAAGGTTATTGTCTTCAAAGCACGGTTGGTGGCGAAGGATTTCACTCAGAAAGAGAGAATCGATTATGATAAGACATTCTCACCAGTAGTCATGTTGAAGTCGATCTGAATTCTTTTATCCATAGAAGTCACATGGACAATTAGTTTTGACAAATGGATGTCAAGACAATTTTCTTAACGGTATGTTGGATAAAGACATATATATGCAGCAACCCAAGGGATAGTAAAGAAATGACAAGAGCATCGAGTCTGAAGGCTAAAGAAGTTTCTTTATGGAATGAAGCAAGCTTCTAGGTTTTGAACATTCGTTTTGACGAGGTGATCAAGTCATATGGGTTTGAACAATGTCAAAACGAAAGTTATGTATACAAGAAGAGCAACGGAAACATAGTGGTTTTCTTAATACTATACGTAGATAATATTCTTCTATCGACAACAATGTCAAGATATAATCAGATGTAAAGGTGTGGCTTCCAGAACAGTTTCAAATGAATAACTTAGGAGAAGCATCATACATTATTGGAATCAAGGTATTCGTGATAGGAAGAAGAGAATGTGTGTTTATCTCAAGTTATTGACATTGATACTGTGATTGCTTTTAGGCATGCAGAACTCCAAGAAAGAGTTGCTACCCTTTCGACATGGAGTTTTTCTATCTAAGAATATGTGTTCGAAGACAAAAAATGATATAGATGAAATGGCTAAGGTTGTTTATGCTTTAGCTGTAAGAAGTCTTATTATGTCATATTGTGCACGAGGTCTGATATTCGCTATGCAGTTGGCATGGTAGCGAGATATCATTCTAACCCTGGTTAAAAACACTAGACTGCAGTAAAGTAGATACTTAAGTATCTGAAAAGAACTCAGGATTACATGTAATTTACAGTCAAATAGTCTAACTCCTTTGGGTTACATAGATTGTGATTTCCAAGTTGATTGAGATAAGAGAAAGTTGACCTCAGGTTACGTGTTTACGCTGAGAGGCAAAGCGATCTCATGGAGGAGTGTGAAACAGAAATGCATTGCTAATTCCACCATGGTAGTCGAATACGTTGATGCTTCAGAGGCAAAAAAGAAGGTTGTTTGGCTCATAAGCTTTTTACTGGACCTAAGGGTGTCTTCGTATGTGCCTAAGTGTATCACAATATATTGTGACAATGTTGGTGCACTGACGAACTCGAAAGAACGCATAACACATAAGGCTAGTAAACACATATAGAGAAGGTACCACCTTATACAAGATATTGTAAAACGATGAGATGTGATGGTAACGAAGATAGCATCATTGGACAACCTAGCTGATCCCTTCACGAAGACTCTAACGATCAAGGTCTTCGAGAATTACGTAGAGTGTCTTGGTTTACGATGTGTTACAACTAGACTTTGATTATAAGTGGGAGAACTGTTATGACATGCTTTTGTATACTAAAAGTTTAGCTTTAGTATAAGTGGGAGGTTATTGGAGTGTACTGTAAAGCAAACATATGTGTGAGTTTCAGAATGTATTTACTCAGTTTTTTAGTTGACTGAAATAAATGTTTTCACATTATTGCACTTTTTATAATGCTTATCTACTAAATGTCCAATTATCTTATATTGTAGACGATATGGTGTGTCACTAGTCATACATACGGTCGCATTGTCTGTTCCTATAAGATATAAATGGTATTCACAACTGAGATAGTTATGAACATGACTATCCGTTAAGGTTGTAGTATAAATTGGATGTAGCTTGTCTTGGCTATTAGTATATATTAGTGTGTTGCATCGCATTGAATGGATCACAGTTGAGACGTGTTCTTCTGTTCTGCCTGTCATGAAGAACCAAGGTCTCGTTGACTCTAAATTTTTTTAACCCTAATTATGATACTTAGATATGTGAGGTATTTGTTTGTTACTTTGACTTACCATGGGTCAGAACCAAGTTTGGTTCAATATACTATGTATCTTGGATAACGACACTATCTGCATGATATCTATTTATTGGCATTAGAGCACCATGTCTTGGTCATCCATGTTGACGACCTCCCCTTAAGGAGCTTATAAGGATTATTGTATTAAACCCTGCACATAGATTTAATCCTCACGACAGTAAAGTGAGTGGTACTACCTAAGAAATACAATGCATTAATTAATTAAAGCACTCAGAAACTTTAATAATTAATGGACATACGATATCTTAAACACGAGAAATTACATTGAATCTAATATAAGCCTTGATTCATTTAGGGATAGGATGAGTGTGTAATATTAACTCTCTAATAGAATGAATTAATATTTACATGCCAAATTGTGTTTGAGGTTGAACATAATTATTTGGGCCGGTAGGTAGCTCAAACCTTATACCTTCTAGGGATCCTTAGTCTGACCCAAGGACTCCTATTTATAGATGGGCTTGTACGCCTTTTGAGCCTAAAAAATTTAAGAGACACTCATCAACCACCATACGTGGGACGAGAGTGGCGTTTGGGGTTCTAGAAGACGTGAAGCAGCTTGCTCTTTGCAAGAGTTTGGAGGATCGTTGACCATCCGACGTCCAAACGTGGTCGTAATACAAACTAAAAGATCGCCTTAGCGAATCAAAGCATCTATTTTAAGGTAGCTCCCTATTCATACTTTAGGAGCATGCCTAGATTTATTCGAAATCATGTATGTATGTGTTTGGTATCCAATAACGATCCATGGGGGCGGACCATCCTCGCCGTTGTGTTCTAGCATACACTACATTCTTTTTAAATTAAGGGTTGGTTTATATTATTTGTCACAACTTTTTAACTTTACCTTCACATATGTAGGAATCAAAACGTGTATTATCATAAGATATGAGTGACTGAAGATAGAAAGATATATATGCGTGAGTATTATTTATTTATAATGTTTGAATATGTTAAATTTTCATGTTTCTTAATTCAAAATCGAATATCTAAAATGATGGCTATTTTATAATTGAGCCAATTCATATATACATCATATATTGAACTATTATAAAACATAAAAATAAAAGAAAAGCAATATTAATTTTCAAAATTATTTTTATACTAATCGGTATTCATACATTGCTTTAATTTATACGATTTATCATCATCACCTTGTGCATCACAAGAGCAATGTACTAGTGTTTGTTACAATGTTTG